GGTAATGGGGGGCTCTGGGTGGGTTTAGGATTTGAGGGAGGGTAATGGGGGCTCTGGGTGGGTTTAGGATATGATGGAGGGTAATGGGGGTCTCTGTGTGGGTTTAGGGTAATGGAGTGGTTTAGGATATGAGGGAGGTAATGGGGGCTCTGGGTGGGTTTAGGATATTGAGGAGTAATGGAGGGCTCTGGATGGATTTAGGATATGAGGGAGGATAATGGGGGGCTCTGTGGGTTTAGGATTTGAGGGAGGGTAATGGGGGTCTCTGGGTGGGTTTAGGATTTGAGGGAGGATAATGGGGGTCTCTGGGTGGGTTTAGGATATAAGGGAGGATAATGAGGGGCTCTGGGTGGGTTTAGGATATGAGGGAGGATAATGGGGCCTTGGGTGGGTTTAGGGATATGAGGGGAGGATAATGGGGCCTCTGGGTGGGTCTAGGATTTTAGGGAGGGCAATGGGGGGCCTATGGGTTTAGGATAAGGATGGAGGGTAATGGGGGTCCTGTGTGGGTTTAGGATATTGTGGGGGGCTCTGGGTGGTTTAGGATATGAGGAGGATAAATGGGGCCCCTGTGTGTACATGACACAAAATGGGGCCCAGGATGAGGGGACAGTGGGGGGGCCCAGACAGAGGGGACAGTGGGGGGGCCCAGGGACGGAGGGGATAGTGGGGGGATCAGGATGGAGGGATAGCTGGGGGCTCAGGACGGAGGGGGTAGTGGGGGGCCCAGGATGAGGGGGGATAGTGGGGGCCCAGGATGAGTGGGGCCTCAGGACGGAGGGACAGTGGGGGCCTGTGACCTGAGGGGATAGTGGGGGGCCCAGCTCTGTGAGGGGGCAAATGGGGCCCAGGACCCCAGGGAAGGCATTGGGGCCCAGTCAGAGGGAAAATGGGGGGTCAGATGAGGGGTAAAGGCCCAGTTGTGGGGAAGTGGGGGCCCAGGGGCTCAGGGGGATAGTGGGGCCCAGCCTGAGGCAATGGGGCCCAGGATGGGAGGGAGGGGGACCCAGCTCTGTGGGGCAGGGGCTCAGTTTGTGAGGGGAATAGTGGGGGGCTCCAAAGAGTGGGAGGCAGTGGGGCCCAGGTGGGGTCCGCCCAGGAGGGGCAATGGGGGCCCAGGATGAGGCAAATGGGGGGCTGAGTTTGTGGGGATAGTGGGGTCCTGGCCTGTGGGGGTATTTGGGGCCCAGCTTGTGGGGTGTCTCGGGTTATATTGTGGAGACGCTGAGTGTATTGGGTGAGAGGAGGCTGGTCCTCCCCGGGAGGAATTTCTCGCTGGTATTTAAAGAGGAGGGGGGGGGAGGGGCCGCTCTATCCGGTTGAACTCGATGGTTAGAACTTCCGGTGTCTCCGGCAGTGATTTCCGGTGACGATGCCGTACGCCAACCAGCCCACAGTTCGCATCACCGAACTCAGCGACGAGAACGTCAAGTTTATTGTGGAGAACACGGACCTGGCGTGAGTCACCGGCACCCCCAAACCGAGAGACACCCCCAAACCGAGAGAGACCCCCAAACTGAGAGAGACACCCCCCCGATAATACTGAGAGAGACACCCCCAAACCGAGAGACACCCCCAAACTGAGAGACACCCCCCCGATAATACTGAGAGA